TCTCGCTTTTACTAGAATGCATAGTGATAAATAAACTTCTTAATACAGATATAATACAAACAAATAAAATCAAATAATAATTATTGACAAATAACAAGTATGCAATAGATATCAAAGGAATAAACAACTTATCTGATGTTTATAGATTAGTCACGAGAGAAAAAAAAACGCTAAAGTTTTTTTTATTTATATACTAAAATTTGTCTCGCTAAAAAAGCTGTTTTAATAAATTTAATTACATAGTGAATTGGGAAGTAACGCATTTAAAGTTACCTCATTGCTTTAAAACATAAACAAAAATTTTACGCATGTAACTACAAATTTTTGCTAAAAGCAACAAAATTTGCCAAGGTTAAAGACGTTTTAGTTAGAGTACAGAAAGTAACTTTTTTGATTTTCATCTGCATAGAGGGTTGAAATTTCAATAATTTGGAGGGCATAACAAAAATTAAACGTTTTTCATATAAATCAAGTAAAAACAAAAAAAAATAATGCTAAAAAAACTAACTATAATTTTTTTTTTTATCTATGCCCTCCAAAAATCTGATAAAATAGACATTCGTTTATAAGTATGTAAAATTTCAATCATCAAGCATGTAGCTTAAAATATTAAATCTTGATTGGCCCAAGACAGGTTTTCCGTAAAATACGCAAAAAATAGAAAAGTGATTCAAAATCATTTAAAATATTTTAACAATGTTTATTTTTTTTCCGTTTCATGTAAATATTTATTTAACAAAAAAAGATAGTTCTTTTATATTTTTTTAATTCCAAGATAAAAGCGTTTATAGAAAAAAAATACTATTAATTTAAAGTTAGTGAATTTTTATACTTTTTATGCGGAAATTCTTTTTTTTTTTTTAACACAAAAATTCTTGTGACGTCAAGCTTGCTTTTATATTGATTGAAACAGCCTTGCTATAAATCTCAAATTCGGCCTTGTATGGAATACTGTTGCCATATCTGGGGCAGATCTTCTAATGATGCCCTTTCTCTTTTAGTCAAGGTGCAAAAACGCATTGTAAACATAGTTGGACCTGCTCTTGCAGCCAACCTTCAACCTCTGTCACATCGTCGTAATGTTGCTTCTCTTTCTCTTTTCTACAAATACTATAATGGGCACTGCTTTAAAGAGCTAGCGTCTCTGGTGCCATCCATTCTCAATCATTCTCGTGTTACTCATCATTCAATTAAGTCTCATCCTTTTTCTGTTACTGTTCCTAAGTGCTCCAAAAACTCTTATTCGTCTAGTTTTCTTCCTCGAACATCAGTTCTTTGGAATTCGCTTCCTTCATCTTGCTTTCCTGACTCATATAATTAGCAATCTTTTTAGTCGTCTGTCAATCGTTATCTTGCTCTACAATCTTCATCTTTTCTCTTCCAGTAACTTCCAACACTAATTAGTGGTTGGTTGCAGCCTTGTTGGAAGCGAAGATGTTAAAAAAAAAAAAAAAAAATTAAGTCATAAACTTCATCCTACTATTTTTTAACTTATATCTTGAGATTATACTTTCACATTGATATCTTGAGATTTTACTTTCACATTGATATCTTGAGATTATACTATCACATTGATAACATAATATCAAATTGATATTTGTAGAAAAATTATTACAAAAAACTCCAATTATAATTATACTTCTAAATAAAAATTAAAAATATAAAAATTAAAAATCTATATGTAAAATAGATTTTTAAGCATTGGCTACTATATTTGGATATTTTAACACCAAATTTTGTTGACATTACAAAAAACATGATTAATATTCTTTATACTAAAATGAACCCAAAAATCAGTTAAAATAAAAAGTATATAAAGTTTTAAACTTCTCCAGTAAAAAAAAAAAATTATCCAATGCTAGTTACGCGGTTTTTCACTATCCCCGACAATATTCTATTTTCATTCAATTTGCAAATTCTAATTCATAAATCTACACACAACATATCTAAAGCAAGGCTTGTTAAACAGTCAAGGTTTAGATATGTTGTGGATTAAATAGTTAATCTTGAGCTCAACTTAACCTTAAACCAATATAATAACTTATCTTTTTAAAACTTAAACAATATAATAACTTAATCCATTAGAACTAATATATACATCTACACCTTAATTTATTCAAAATTAATAAAAAAAAATATTCAGAAAGGTGTCATCTTATTGATATTTTTATAACAGGTAATATTTATCAAAACTAATAGAAGTAAATTCATTTTATATTTTGAATATGCTATCTTTTTTATAAAGGTAATATGAAAATATCTTGAAATGATATAAATAAAATCCAATTAAAAAAAAAACATATTAATCATTATGAATAAAAATAATTTTTGAAATCGAGATATAATCAAAAATGCAAAAGGATTTTCGGAAATGAAATGAAACTATCATCATTATCACCATAAAATTTGTTGCTTATACATTCTTTTTGATATTTTTCACAAATTTTTTTAATAAACTCTTTCGCAAGTCATTACATTTGTGATATCTATTTTGAAATTCACAATACTTGCTTGCATCATGAATTTACTTAGATAACCTTAACATCAAGGTTTGTAATAATCTGATACATTGTATTAAATGTTAATCAACTTTGAAAAACAAACTACAAAATGCTTTTATTTTTGAATATACAACATATAAACGGATATTAATGAATATAAATGAGAAACAGTTTTTTAAGATATACGTCAACATATGCATTAAAAATTATTAATAGAAAACATTTAAATCTGTAAAATTAATGTTAACACTTCAGTTCATTACTAATAAAATGTAACAGTATATTCAAACAGTCTGTTTAAATATACTAATTATAATTCCTAAAATATTTTTTTGTAGCTGTTTATATTATTTTATAATAAATAGAAGTATACAAAAAAAAAAAAAAAAAAAAAAAAAAAAAAAAAAAAAAAAAAAAGCAAAATAAAATAAAAAATAAAAGCAAAATATAATCAGGATCTTTTGCATACAATTTTAAAATTTAATGAAAAGATAACTTTAAATTGCATGAATACAAAATAAAACAGAAAAAAATACAAAACAAAAATATAAAGTAAAAATATTATTTAATATAAACAATTATGAAATACTAATAATAAAAAGATAAAACTTCAAACTTCAAAAATTTTCAAGCAGTTTTTTTTCCCACAAAGCCTACTTATCTCAGCCAAATAAATGAAAGGTTTAAATATCCTAATAACACGATAAAGTAGAATAAACATAAACTTACTTCAAAAAATAATCTGGTTACATTTTTTTGTTAAACATGAACAACACTGATGTGAAGCCAGTTACACGTTGCAAGTTAAGATATTTGTAACCATTTTTCCATACTATTTTATATATGCAATTATATAACTACTAACAAATATTATTTTTACAAAATATATTTTATTAACTATAAAATCTTTTAAAAAATTTTTTGAACGTCAAGTGAAAAATAAAATTTTTATAACATTTACATTTTAACATAATTTATAAAGTTTTTATTAAAAAACAGTTGTTTTTTTTATTCAAATATTAAAAAATACAATATTTTTTTTCTGAAAGTTAGTCTAAAAGTCACATAGAAACATCAGAGATACCTTCATACTTATCTTTTACTTCATTCATAAAAAAATTCTACAAATGGTGCTTATTGTGTTAGGTCCATATTTAGTTAGAGATTTTTAGGTTTATAGACTTTTTGAAAATCAAAAATGTCAATTTTTACAAGAAAAAATACGTTATCTCAATATATAATCATTAACTTGCAAAATCTCAAGCTAAAAAGAAAGATAATAATCCAAGTATCAATTTCAAATGTAAAACTATGAGTAGTAACATGTAAACTATGAAGAGGTAACATAATGGTTTATCGAGCATCTTTTTGTAGACTTATTTATCATGATTTAAATAATACGAAGAATGTGTAAAAATACATATATTCTTTAATGAACAAAAAATATAATTTATATTTAACATATTAACACATTCACTTTTTGACCAATTAAGCCATGAAACTTGGTTGCTTAACTGCATATTTTAGACTTAACCAAACATAAAAATAATCCAGTCTCACAATACTTTGATTTGTTAATCGCGCGAACTATTCGCGCTGGGAGATTTTTGGTCAAAAATTAACCTATAAACGTTGTTTCAAAGTACCTATTATTTGAGCATAAACTTACACAATAGAGATAATTTTTGAAATTCGGATTTATTGAGGATTGTGGAAGCAATGCCAGCTTAAAAGTGTACAAATTTTACTTAAAGTAGAAATGTTCATGTTTGGTTTTAAATCTAGAAAGTGTTAGTGGGAATAATTACGGACCATGCCAGCATCATTAAAAAAAAATTGAAAAACTATTACAATATAGCCACAGCTATGCTCTTAGTGTTCAACCATTACTTCCATTTTATAAAAACATGTCATTATTAATCCGTACGCAGAGACAATTAGTAGAGGTTGATGATACCTTAGTTTTGATAATGAAATTTAGTGAAAGGTGTGAATCAGATAGAGATGCTGATGTAAAGGAGAGTTGTTTTGTTATCTTTAATTCAAGACGTATTATATTCTAAAAAAGAAATTGAGCTAGCGATAAATAAGGTTAGAAAATGTGATGCTATTTAAAAAACCACCATCATAAAAAATGACAACTGTCTCTAAAAATACGTAAAAAATAGTTTTGGGAAGAAACCTTCATTTAATCAAGGAAAAAATGTATATGATATAATACAGTAAGGAAAAATAAGGAAAAAATGTTTATAATACAATACAGCAAAATATAACAAAGTAATTTTGTGTGTTAAGTTTTTTTTTCTAAATATCTCCCCAACAAAATCTAATATAAAAAACATATAGATACAAACCTAATAAATATGTTGAAACGAACTTATTAAACAAGTTGTTGATACGTAATATAAATACTTATAGTATCCTAAAATTTCTTACAAAAAAAACTTTGAAAAATTCAAAAAAAAAAAAAAAAAAAAAAAAAAATTAAAAAACATGCTATTTGTTTACAATTCATCTTTTTTTTTTAGAAATTTTGCGCAACGAAATCCAAGATTACTTGAACCGCTGTCTGGTGTATTATACGATCTGGAAGCACAACGATAACGATAACAATAGTTCTAATAGTAAAAACAAAGAATTTAATTAATACAAAAAGTTAAAAACTTTTCAGTATTTTATATTTTACTAATAAAAAATAAACAAATAAGACAATATTTATTATACTTAGGTCGTTAGAGAAGTTCGTAGAACTTCATTTATAAAGTTACAATAAGACAGGAAATAATTAAATATTTATATATCATCTTAAACTGTGTTTAATTATGAACATTTTAAGTACTTGTTGAAATATTTTGAATGTTAATTAAAAAAGTTATTTAAATTTTATAATATTCATTTGAAAAAAAATATTTAAAAATGGAAAAATTTAAATAACAAGCATATATTAAAACCTGTGCTCTACTTGGAGTTTCAGCACAAGCCATAACCAATGAATTGGTTTTAGTTCATGGTGACCAAGCTTCAAAATATAGTACAGTTGCCAAATAGGCTACTTTTTTAAAGATGACACCCTCTAACTGTGTATACAGCTGAGAATATTGAATGTGTGCGAGCCATTATTAAAGAAAATCAGCATGCAATACATGATATAATTGAAGCCCTGACATCGATTAATCGTTTTACAATCAACAAAATCATTCACAACGCACTTAGAAAAAGAAAACTAATATCACATTGGATACACCATGAGTTAACTGATCAAAATCGAAAGAATTAAGGCATGTAAGGAAAATTTAGCCCTTTTAAGAAACGGCCCATGGAGGCTATGTGCTATTGTTACAGGGGATGAGTCGCAGTTTTATTTGAGACAAGTTGGACACAAGATAGCTAACGCTAGTTGGGTCGGTGAAGGTGAAAGTCCATGAACTATAGTATGATGTGATAGGTTTCAGCCAAAAAACATGTTCTTCTTCAAAACAACAGATGTTGTTCATTTGGGTTATGTTGAAAAGGGAGACACCTTTTTTTTTTTTTTTTTTTTTTTTTTTAACATCTTCACTTCCAACAAGGCTGCAAGCAACTACTATAAGAGTTGGAAGTTACTGGAAGAGAAAAGACTAAATCTGTAGAGCAAGATAACGATTGACTGATGACTTAAAAGATTGCAAATTATATGAATCAGGAAAGCAAGATGAAGGAAGCGAATTCCAAAGAACTGATGTTCGAGGAAAAAAACTAGAAGAATAAGAGTTTTTGAAGCACTTAGGAACAGTCACAGAAAAAGGATGAGACTTAATTGAATGGCGAGTAACACGAGAATGAATTTTAGTAGATGGCACAAGGGACGCTAGCTCTTTAGAGCAGTGCCCATTATAGTATTTGTAGAAAAGAGAAAGAGAGGCAACATTACGACGATGTGACAAAGGTTGGAGATTGGCTGCCAGAGCAGGTCCAACTATGTTTACAATTCGTTTTTGCACCTTGTCTAAAAGAGAAAGAGCATCATTAGAAGATCCTCCCCAGATGTGGCAACAGTATTCCATACAGGGACGGATTTGAGATTTATAGAGATAGAGAATAGAATCTGGAGTAAGAAAGTGTCGAGCTCGATAAAGAGATGCAACCTTAGCAGATGCTAATTTTGCAATGGATTTGATATACGGTTTAAAAGAAAGATCAGAAGTAAGAGTTAATCCTAGAAGATGAATGGTAGATGACTCATCTAGTACATTACCATTCATAAATATAGGAAGATCTAAATTATTACGATAACGATTGGCCGAATAAAATTGAGTTGTATTTTACTAGCGAATATTATATAAAAAACTGTTTGAAACCTCATATGCAAAATAAATGAGCAAAGACCTAAAACAGACGCTCACAATTTCAAATTTCCCCATAATAATGCTCGACCCCATGTAACTCAAAACGTCACAGATCGTTTAAACCAAGCCGGAATTACAATAATTCGCCACCCACCATACTCACCAGACTTAGCTCTATCCCATTATTGGCTATTCGACTTGATAAAAAAAAACTTGATGATGATACTGATGTCGAAAGCCAAAAAACCTGCATAATGAAGCTACTTGAAAGTATACCCAAAAAAGAGTATAAAAAAACATTTCACAAATGGCTTGAAAGAATGCAACTTTGTATAGATAATGATGGAGATTATTTTGAACATTTAATAGAATAAAATTAAAAAAAAACTCTTTTATTTTTTTTTATAGGGGAATTCTATGAACTTTCCTAACGACCCAAGTATATGATTCATTATTGTCAATAACCATAGATCATTGCTACGAACTTTCTTAATGACCTAAGTATATGATTCAATATTGTCAATAACCATAGATCATTGCTCAGCAAACAAAAGTTTGATGAATACAGTGGGGAAGATATTACCTTCCTGTCAAATTAAATAATTTTATGTTGTTCTGGGTCAGTTGAGAGTTTTTATTTAAACTTTTATAGTTAAAGACTAACGATACCACTCATTAGATGATGTTCAGATTTGGGTCCATTTTCCCAGGTAGTTATTTTTATCAAAATGTTTTAACCAATTTGAAGCTGTAGCATGTGAAACACAGAAACCTGAGATATTGCTTCACATGTATTTTGAGTGGCTTCTCTAGCAGAATGGCCTATTTGGTACTTATATAGCAGACAGTCTTTTTATTTTAAAATTTTTAAAAATATTTAAATGTGTTAAATAAAAAACTATATTTACATGCATATCGATGGTTTAAAACACATAAGACACTTGTCCGTATTTGACAGGTCCAAAAAAACAAGTTTTCAAAGTTCAATATATATATATATATATATATATATATATATATATATATATATATATATATATATATATATATATATGTATATATATGTTATGTATATATAATACTTTGAAATGGGCTTAAGAAACTTTAAAAATTTTTATAATTTGAACCTGAAAATCTCTACAATTCAAAGAGATTTTTTAGACCTGTTGGTTCGAAAACCTGTAAATTGAACTTTTTTAATTTATGATGTGTAAAAGACTTGTTAAACTATTAAATTCTTTTTATAAATTTCAATGTGTTTTTAAGATGTGCTTTATATTTCTGTTTTCTTTTTCTGAATATTTTCTTTTTTTTTTTTAATAAAACGATATTTAAAGGAAATATGAAACTGGAAATGGAAACAGGTAAAACAAATGAAGATGAAAATCTTTGATATTCCACCAAACTTTCTTTTAACTTAAAAATATATAAAAAATGATCTTTTTTTCAAATGCTAACTTTTTAAATGTACATAAGAGGAATTTTCAAGAAGAACTTGTTTCATTTCTTTTTTTTATTTTGACCAAAATAATTGAAAAAAAGTCAATGTTTTATAATTCAAAAACCTCTCTAATTTGAACTTTTATTTTTCCCTAATTAGAGAAACTGTATTCTATGTAGCAATTGTATTGTATGTAATATGCATGCATATCAATACGCATGTGCATAATATTTAACTATAAATGTAAAGGCAGATTTCAACTTACAGAAAATTTTCAGCAGATCCTTAAAAAATAAAAAAACTATCCAATCATGTCACAAAAATTAAAATGTGCATGCCTAAACTGTTTTATTTTCCTTTCTGTTCCATTGCACAGTAAACTTTCTGTAAGGGGAAATCTGCTTTAATATATTAAGAAAGAAAAAGAAATTTAAAAAAGGACTTTATTATACTTGCGCCCAACCAATGCAAATAAGTAAATACTATTTATACCTTTGAGCACATAAAAGATCCTCCTTTCTTTACTTTTTTATCACCAGATGGGGGACCATACTATGGTAATAAAAATAAAAAAATTGAATTTCAACAATCAACTTTTGATAATTCAAGGAAAAATATCAAAAAAAAAAAATTTTTTTTAGTATGTGTGATTTAATTAAATTTATTTTAAATAATTTTAACTGATACTTTATATACAAGCTTTATATTGTAGGTTGCTATAGAACCTTGTTTTAGCAAGATTTAATTTATTATTGTATATAATATAATATGCAATTTGTTAAGTTTGTTAAACATCTAGTTATTTGAATCTTTAAATCAAATTAAAAACAAAATTCTTACTGGGTCCTTCTGATGTTCTTTAGAATGATCTGTATGCCACCAATCAGCTACCCATTCCCAAACATTACCTACCATGTTACAAAGCTTCTTATTGTTTTGAACAAACATGTTAACTGGAGCAGTTCCATTATAACCATCTTCAGCTGTGTTTTCATTAGGAAATTTTCCAGTCCAAATATTTGCTTTAAATGTCCCATGAGGTCGAAATTCATTTCCCCAGGGAAAAAGCCTGAAAAAAATACACTCAAAATTTATTAAAACAACAGCAACAACAAATTAATGGAAAATTAAAAAGTAAAATTTTCTATTTTAAATTTCAATATTTTCTATAAAAATTTGAATGAACTTATATTTACCAGAAATAGTTTTTATTTGTGTATTTGTTAAATACACAAATAAAAATTACATGTAATATTCAAAATACACAAATAAAAATTACATGCAATACTGAAAAAATATATTTCTAGACAGAGAATGCACTAATACTAAATGCACTAAGTGCAATTTGAAGAAACTAAAGAATAGAATAGAAATTCTTGTTCAAATTTTCTAAAGTTAATTGTAAGTGATCTTAAAGTGAAGCAGTTAGTGATATAGTGACATGTAAGTCACTCTCTCACAAAATACTGTTAGAAACAATTTGTTAGAGAGTGACATGTAATTGAATTTAAAGTGAAGCAGTTTGCAAAGGAGTGACATGTAAGTTAACTTAAAGTGAAATAATTTGTTAGAGAGTGACATTTAAGTGAACTTAAAGTGAGTTTGTGAGCGAGTGACATGTAAGTGATTTTAATGTTAAGCAGTTTAGTAAGTTGTATTCAATTCATAAATAAAAATAATAAAACAAGTTGAAAATTAACAACAACAATAACAAAAATCAATTAAAAGTTGAAAAACATCTTTTTTTTTTCAAACATCTTCACTTCCAACAAGGCTGCAAGCAACCACTAATTAGTGTTGGAAGTTACTGGAAGAGAACAGATGAAGATTGTAGAGCAAGATAAGGATTGAAAGCAAGATGAAGGAAGCGAATTCCAAAGAACTGATGTTCAAGGGAAAAAACTAGACGAATAAGAGTTTTTGGAGCACTTAGGAACAGTCACAGAAAAAGGATGAGACGTAATTGAATGACGAGTAACACGAGAATGAACTTTAGTAGATGGCACAAGGACGCTAGCTCTTTAGAGCAGTGCCCATTATAGTATTTGAAAAAAAGACAAAGAGAAGCAACATTACGATGATGTGACAAAGGTTGAAGGTTGGCTGCAAGAGCAGGTTCAACTATGTTTACAATGCCTTTTTGCATCTTGTCTAAAGGAGAAAGGGCATCATTAGAAGATCTGCCCCAGATATGGCAACAGTATTCCATACAAGACCGGATTCGAGATTTATAGAGATAGAGAATAGAATCCGGAATAAAAATAAGTGTCGAGCTCGATAAAGAGATGCAACCTTAGCAGATGCTAATTTTGCAACGGATTTGATATATGGTTTCCAAGAAAGATCAGAAGTAAGAGTTAATCCTAGAAGATGAAGGGTAAATGACTCATCGAGTACATTACTGTTCATAAATATAGGAAGGTCTAAATTATTGCGATAACGATTGGCTGAAAAAAATTGAGTTTTATCTGAATTAAAGTTCACTAGCCACTTTTTCAAGCTCAAATAATGCCCTCTCCAAGCAATCATAGAGAGTTGGCTTCTTATCATAACAAGAATAAATGGTAATATCATCAGCAAACAATGCCACCTGAGATGAGAGAATATCTAGAAGATCATTAATGCAAATTAAAAAGAGCATAGGGGCAAGGATTGAACCTTGAGGAACCTCTGAGGTTAAAGACTAAGAAGAGTGCTGTCCATCAAGGACAACTTTTATACTACGATTGAAAAGGAAGGATACAATAATCTTAAAGATGTTTCCAGATACACAATAAGAAGAAAGCTTATGGAGAAGACCAGCATGTCAAACTTTATAAAACGCTTTAGAAATGATGGCTTTAGAAAAAGCAATGGCCTTAACCTCTCCACTTTTATCTAATGCATGATAAAACCTATCGGTTATTACTGTTAATGGGACGGTAGTTAGACGAATCAGATTGCTCTCCAGAATTTTTAAAAATAGGGATAACAAATGCTGCTTTCCAGAAGGCTGGAAAACAAGACACTAATAAGCACTTGTTGAATAGTTTTAAAAGGATAGACAACAGCTCCGGAGAACACTTCTGCAAAACTATAACACGTATGTTGTCTGGGCTACAAGCTGTAGAAGAGTCTAAGCAGGAAATTACTTTAGATACAGAGGAAGAAGTGATACAAATGTCAAGCAATGGATCAACCTGTTTGACGGCTATGTTACTTTATTCATTTTTAAATTTGTTAAAGAACATGACTTGAAACATAGATAGCACTCAGTACACTGTTTTATAGTCCAAGCCATTGCCTCATTACTATAAATAAACCCTAAGCTGTAATAAAGGGGTCTAATGTGGCCTTGTATTACTTTTTTATTGAATCAAATAATTTAAGTTGACTTCACGATTTCAGATAATATTATAACTCTACCAAGAAGAGCAAAGATTGTAGAGCCGCAGCTGTACCAAATATTTTCAAAATTCAATCTAGAAATGATTAAGATATGCAATTAATTTAAAAAAGTCACTTTATTGTATAGCCACTAACAAATAAGCAAGTCAAAAAAATATCAAGAAGGTAAAAAATGTCAAAAAGATAAAAATGTTATGATGTATTACAAAAATCTAGAATGCAACAAAAATTAGTTGTTAAAAACACATGTCCGATGTTCCATTAATTATTTTTAACATATCTTTGACTCGCATTGAAAATCTTTTTTTTTTTTTTTTTTTTTTTTTTTTAACATCTTCACTTCCAACAAGGCTGCAAGCAACCACTATAAGAGTTGGAAGTTACTGGAAGAGAAAAGACTAAATCTGTAGAGCAAGATAACGATTGACTGATGACTTAAAAGATTGCAAATTATATGAATCAGGAAAGCAAGATGAAGGAAGCGAATTCCAAAGAACTGATGTTCGAGGAAAAAAACTAGAAGAATAAGAGTTTTTGAAGCACTTAGGAACAGTCACAGAAAAAGGATGAGACTTAATTGAATGGCGAGTAACACGAGAATGAATTTTAGTAGATGGCACAAGGGACGCTAGCTCTTTAGAGCAGTGCCCATTATAGTATTTGTAGAAAAGAGAAAGAGAAGCAACATTACGACGATGTGACAAAGGTTGGAGATTAGCTGCCAGAGCAGGTCCAACTATGTTTACAATTCGTTTTTGCACCTTGTCTAAAAGAGAAAGAGCATCATTAGAAGATCCGCCCCAGATGTGGCAACAGTATTCCATACAGGGACGGATTTGAGATTTATAGAGATAGAGAATAGAATCTGGAGTAAGAAAGTGTCGAGCTCGATAAAGAGATGCAACCTTAGCAGATGCTAATTTTGCAATGGATTTGATATACGGTTTAAAAGAAAGATCAGAAGTAAGAGTTAATCCTAGAAGATGAATGGTAGATGACTCATCTAGTACATTACCATTCATAAATATAGGAAGATCTAAATTATTACGATAACGATTGGCCGAATAAAATTGAGTTTTATCTGAATTAAAGTTCACCAGCCACTGTGAGCCCCATGCTGTAGCAGAAGTGAGATCCTTTTCAAGCTCAGATACCCCCTCCAAGCAATCAGAGAGTGTAGGTTTCTTATCACGACAAGAGTAAATGGTAGTGTCGTCAGCGAATAATGCCACCTTAGATGTGAGAATGTCTGGAAGATCGTTAATGTAAATTAAAAAGAGTATAGGGCCAAGGATTGAACCTTGAGGAACCCCTGAAGTTACAGGATGTGAAGAAGAGTGTTGTCCATCGAGGACAACTTTTATACTACGATTGGAAAGAAAGGACTCAATAATCTTAAAGACGTTACCAGCTACACTATAAGAAGAAAGCTTATGGAGAAGACCAGCATGCCAAACTTTATCAAAAGCTTTAGAAATGTCAAGTGCGATAGCCTTAACCTCTCCACCTCTATCTAATGCACGGTAAAACCTATCGGTTATTACTGTTAGCACATCAGCTGTAGAACGAGAAGACCGAAATCCATATTGATGATCAGAAAGTAAGTTATTTGATTCAAGATGAGAGATTAAGTGTTTGTTGATTAAAGATTCAAAAACCTTGCTTATGACAGGAAGAAGACTAATGGGACGGTAGTTAGATGAATCAGATCGCTCTCCGGAATTTTTGAAAATAGGGATAACAGATGCTGCTTTCCAGCATGATGGAAAACAAGACTCTGATAAGCACTTGTTAAATAGTTTAGAAAGTATGGATGAAAGCTCCGGAGAACACCTCTGCAAGACTACAACAGGAATGTTGTCAGGACCACAAGCTGTTGAAGAGTCTAAGCAGGAAATTACTTTAGATACAGAAGCTGAAGTGATGCAAATGTCAAGCAAGGGATCAACCTGTTTGACGGCTATGTCAGGTAAAACGCAACTAGTGGAATCAAGAGATGATATTGATGAAAAGTTCTTAGCAAACAATTCAGCTTTGTCTTTAGGTGAGGTGACAAAGTCTGAACCATACAAGAGAGAAGGAATAACAGATTTGCCCTTATTATTGATACTGTTAAAGATTCTCCAGAAGTCTCGAGAGCCTAATTTTTGTGATGAGATACGAGATTTAATGACCTGGGAATAGCGAGCTTTGGCGTCAGACAAAACCTTTTTACAATGGTTTCTGGCGATAGTGAACAGATGTCTGTTTTCTGGAGAATTGTTTTGCTGATAGATATGGAAGTAACGGTTTCGATTAGAAATTGCTGCAGCGCAATGTGAGGAAAACCAAGGAGAAGAGTGAGGCTTGACCTGGAATCGTCGAGAGGGAATAAAAGATTCCATGCCAGCCTGAATCCACGAAGTTATGTAAGAAGCACATTTGTCAGCAGGAAGACGAAAGATTTCTACCCAAGGGCCATCACGAAGAAAATCACGGAAAGAGTCCCAGTCAGCTTTAAGGTAGTTGTATGTGGTACGATGATAGGGGGATTCTGATGAAGTAGAAGAATTTGATAATAGTTTTAGAGAGATCAAACCGTGATCAGAAGTACCTAAGGGTGAATGTGGAGAAATTGAGCACTGACTAGAATCCAAAACAAGACATAAGTCGAGTAGAGAAGGTAAATGATTAGGGTTGTCTGGAAAACGAGTTGGAAAGTTGACTATTTGAGTTAGAGATTGAGAAAGGCAAAAGTTGAGGGCCTTAACGCCTGCAGAGTCACTGACACTAGAGCCAAGCCAATCGGTGTGATGGGCATTAAAGTCACCAACAACGACGATATTGGCCGATGGATAAAGAGAGAGGGCTTGGTCAATTTGATCAGAAATAACATCAAGAATAGTGCAATCTTGGGATGAAGGAGAGCGATATAGAACAAAGAGAAAGGCGATAGAGTGAAGTTGTGCTAAACGAAAGCACATAAATGAATAGTCTGTAGATTCAAACCTAGTTTCACGAGAAATGGGTGAGTTCTTACGAATGTAGATGCCCAGGCCAAGCATGTGATTATTGGAGTCTTTACGAATTAAAGGAAGATAACCATCAACACTAAGATCACAAGAAGGGACAGCCGAACTCAAATTAGTCTCACAAAGAGCAAGTAGGTCTGGTGAACTTTGCAAGAGATAAGACTCAACAGAAGAAAAGTTACTTCGAAGACCACGAATATTAGTAAATGATAGGTTTAGAGAACTTGGTGATGACAATGGTTTTTTGTGTTTTTTAGTTTTAGGTACTTTAGTCATTTTAAATTTATAAAGAACTTGACTCAAGTATAGATAGTACTCAGTACACTATTTAACAACTAAGCAATAGCCTCATTACTATTAATAAACCCTAAGCCGTAACAAAGGGCTCCAAATGTGGCCTCTGCAATGCACACCAAAAGTACAAACAGGGACACCATCCATGCGCAACATGGCACTGTTAGTACTCTGATATTTTTCGGCTGTTGATGGAATCAGCCTCTCTGAGAGCTACCACAGAGTTCGGGAAACCTGACTACCAGCCGGCCTCAGAACCATAAAACTGAGTTTTAGAGCTGTACCCTCATTAGGAGATAATAGAATGAGTTGCCCAGTCATAAAAATAGAGACACAAGCAATACCCACACATTGAGTCAAGATAATAGAATGAGTTGCCCAGTCATAAAAATAGAGACACAAGCAATACCCACACATTGAGTCAAGAAGATCCAGCGTTCAACATCCTAAACTGGAAACAATGTATTAAAAATACATCTACGCCAGCCTAATAGATGAGGAAGGGGTGCGAGGCTGGTCAACAGATAGAATCTGTTTACCCCTTAAGTCTTTGCCTAGGAGGCCTTCTACAAGACAGCAGCTGGATGCATGTAACATCTGCCCAAGATGAGTATTTTTATCGAGACACCATCTCTAGCCTTTACTCAACCAAGAGCCCCAAGGCAGGGGGTGTTTTAATTCGGAGTTAACTTCTCCTAGCCTTTGCCTAAAAAAGCGTATCCTACAAGGCAGCAGGACATGGAGCAGGTTGTACTGGGTTACATGTTACCAGTAGCAGGAAAACCTGACCTGACCTGAAATCTAACAAGTTTAATTAAAAATCTAATTAGTTAATTTTAACTAGTGTAAAAAATCAGCATAGAATTATACAATGCATAGAATTATACAATGAAGTAATAAGTTTAAAACACTCTTTGGATAAAAAATAATTAAAAAAAGTTTTCTTTTAAACCTATTGATGTTACAAATAAAATTTTTTAATATTGAGATAATGATCTTTAAAATAAATAAAACAAAAATAAAAACCTTAAAACAACAGTTTTAAAACAAAGTATATAAATAATAAGATATATAAATTCAAAGAAAATGCCAAAAATTAACACAAAAGCATGTTCATGAAGCATAATTATTAAAAAAAAAAAATCGTTAATTTCATTTTAGTCATAACCTGTTTTACAAGAGGAAACAAATGAATAATTTGATAAACAATAAAATAACAATAACAAGATAACCACATGTCTAACACAAAAATAAACTTTTAGTTTATTTAAACAAAATTTAAACAATTTTAGTTAACACCTACATGTCGTCTTCACCACTGCTACATGCAAACTCCCATTCAGCTTCTGTTGGCAATCTTTTACCCTTCCACCTACAATATGCTAATGCGTCATTCCAAGATACATGTACAACTGGATGAGAAAGCCTAAAGAAAAATAATTTTTAAATTCACAAATTAAAGTAATATTGAAAAGTGATTTTATATAATAATATATAAATAATAATTTATATCTTAAAATATAAATATGTCTAATTAATAATAACTTTACCTATTAATAAGATTAGAACCAGGTCCTTCTGGGTTTTTCCAATTAGCTCCTTTGACAGGCAACCACCATGGTGCACCTTGAACCTGAATGATGAATGAACAAAATTAATTTACTAAAGAAAAATATCAATATAAAAACTTTCTAATAATAATGCATAAATAATCCTAAACTTTAATTCAAAAAAATATAGTTACCGCCTCCGTAATTCCTTTGTTAACTTCTTCTGAAAGAAAATATTCCATTACAAAAGAATTTCCATAGGTCTCAGCCTAAAATGTTGTGTATAATTTTTGAAATAAATTTAGAGTAATAATAAAATAACTGAAATAAATTGATAACAATAATAATAGTAATAACAATAATAACAATAAATCTAAATAAAATTTATTATGTTAATTAAAAAAATAAATAATAAAAAGAGATTGAGGTAAAACAAATAAAAAAAAATTAAAAACTAAAAAAACATACCTCGGTTTTATAACCAGTTTCCTTGACAAATTCTCTAAACTCTCCATTGCTTACTTCATACATATCAATTGCAAAAGGTTGAATAGATACTTCTCTAGCAGGTGATTCACCATCATCAGGAAACACAGGCTTATCAGTACCTATGATAAAATCTCCTCCCTGAAATTCAACAAGCTGATTTGCAGGGTAAACCTCATCAAAATCCGGTAAATTGAACTGATCTTTTGTGAAAAGAAATTCCTTTGTAGTTGAATTTAATATCTCTAACTTTTTTTTTTTGCTGACATTTTCTTCATTTGTATATATTTTAGGAAGATCTTCATTGATTAACTTATCCTCTTCTGTTTCTAAAGTTGAAAATTCTGAGCTTTCTTTAGAACAACTGCATTCTTTTTTCAATGAATCGAATTCACAACCTTCACATTCTTTACTCTCGGTGTCTTGTGATTGTTCAAGACATAATATTATTTTTAAAGTGACAACAAATAGGAAAAAAACATGCAATTTTTTTTTCATTTCTAAA